AATTTCCAAAAATGTCCTTTGATGTGATGGGTAAAAGTATGATTTGATGGATATATTATTAGTAAAAAGGTATGATGTGATAGTTAGGGTATGAAAAAGTAAGGGGTAAAAGTGACTTTTTAATAGAAATGAGAAGTGTTTTGTGGGACGGATAAAAAAGAAAGGAGAAAGGTTTCATGAGACGGATGGAGTATTATTTTGCAACACAAATTAAACTTCACTCAAAATCACTCATCCTTAATCTTATTTTGGCTAACTGAAGCATCACCACCATAAAATTCAGCCTCATTAATATCACGACTTGGCTCAATAAGAAAATCATCCACATCAAAATGAGTTGCTTCCATCGGCTCAATTGTAGTATCAAAGTCGTCGTCAAAATCAACAAAATTTATCTCCTTTCCTTTTCCCTTTCCTTTGGTAGATGTTAGGTAGAGTTCAACAAGGTGCTTTGGTGTACGAAAAGTACGAGACCAATGACCTTTCACTCCACATTGATAACAAATTTTATCCCTTTGTTTTAAAGCATCACCTTTAACAATCTTCCCCTTTTCTTGTTTTTGGTCATTATTTTCCCACTTCGAGTGGTTTGGTACAGATTTCTTACTAAAAACATTGTTGTTGAATCCTCCTTGACCTTGCCCATAACCACGACCAAAACCACGACCACGACCGCGACCACGAGCACGCCCTCTTCCACGGAAATTAGCATTCGCTTCTAGGAATGAATTAATTGCATTCGCTGCAGGGAATGGTTGAGAGCCATTGGGGCGAGAGTTATGATTTTTCATGAGAAGATCATTATTTTGTCCAGCAACAATGAGACAAAAGATAAGTTCAGAATACTTAGTAAATCCTTTTTCTCGGTACTGCTGCTGCAAGAGCATGTTAGAGGCATGAAAAGTGGTAAATGTTTTCTCCAACATATCAGCATCAGTGACGGTGTCTCCACACAACCTCAATTGATATACAATCCTAAACATGGCAGAATTATACTCGTTTACCGTTTTGAAATCTTGCAACCTCAGTTGCATCCAATCATAACGAGCCTTTGGAAGTATCACACTTTTTAGATGGTTGTATCTCTCCTCCAAGTCACTCCAAAGAGTCGTAGGGTCTTTGACCCCAATATATTCTGACTTCAGGCCTTCATGAAGATGATGACGTATGAAAATCATTGCCTTTGCTTTTTCTTGTTCGCTAGCCCCACCATTTTCCTTGATAGCATTTCCAAGGTTCATTGCATTCAAATGAATCTCAACATCAAGAACCCATGTCAAATAGTTCTTTCCGGAAATGTCAAGGGCAGCAAATTCAAGCTTGGTGAGGTTACCCATAACTGAAAATAAATTATAAATTGTTATTATTTAGAACCATGTGGGCTTGTTGATCCTAACCTTTAGTCTTATATTTCATGTTGACATTCTTTATTTTTGCAATTCATTACCAGAATCTACTAGTTAAAAAAAACAAATGTATATGTAAATTGCACGAGACAAGACAAATTTATTTATCAAATAATTCTAATTGTCTATTTTTTTAAACACACACACACACACACACACACACACATATATATATATATATCAAATTAGTAGATTAAGTTTTTTTATTATTGTGAAAAATAAATAAATTAAAGTGTATTGTTTGAATAGTAGATTTTTTATAAAAACGGCTTAGGTACTTGAAGGGTCTCAATTATTATTATTATTATTTATTATGCATTATTATCATTATTATAGCGGAGGTTACAATATTCATTATGATAAATTAGAGTAAAACTATGGACATAATAATAAATTAGAGCACATTACATAATCACAAATAATAAGTCTATAATATTAACATTATTATTATTATTTCTTTGTTGCATAATAAATAATAATGTCATATATATATATATATATATATATATATATATATATATATATATATATATATAAAACATGAATATCAATAAGGACAAGAGATGAAGGGGAGTAATTTCTATAAAGTTAGAATTTTTTGCTATCGTGCTGATAACGTGTTAAAAATAAAGATATTAGAAATATTGTTATGAACAAAATAATAGAGATATACCTTGATAAGAACACAAATGAGATCAAGGTGCAATGCAGAATGAAAAGAGAAGGAATGCAATGAGAGACTAAAGAGAAGGATATCCCATTTCAACATATAGAGCCTATATATATAGGCTTACAAAGGGGAAAGCAAAGGTCTAACTTAGACATGGAAAACATCAAAAGACATTTGTACATAACACTTTTATCTTACTTGGATATCTTTTTTTAACTCCCATTTTTCAAGATTTTAAAAATAACATTTCGACTATAAAGATTTTAAAAATAAATCTTTATTTGTGTATAGAAATGTATAGTAAAAGTATAATAGTTTAAACATACGTTTCAAAATAAATCCAAATAAATCTACTAGCATTAAATTTATATCATAATTCAACATATATTTTCTTTAATTTGTTGTCAAATTTTAAAAATATTGACAACCAAAATAAAAAATAAAAAAAAAAGATATGGAACAGAGAAGTATGATAACCTCAAAAACTATATGTTTTATTTTCCAAAACCTTTCAACAAACCAACCACTCAAATATAATTTTATTTTGGAAAAAAATTTACACCATTATTTCTAGAACTACACAATTTACATAATTACTCTTAGATTTTGGTCATTGGTAATGACAAGTAAAGAAATGAAAATGTCACACGTTAACGTGCGTTAACGTGGCACATTTCAACCAATCAAAAACGATCCAGTCAGCGTGTGACTAGTTAATGGAGTTGCATGCTATGCAATGGAAAGTCATTATTTTTGTCACTTTTTACATTTTTTTAATGTATTTTAATTATTAAAAATTATTTTATTTATTATTTTTAATAAAATAAATGTACTCCTATTTCAAAAAAATCTTCATTCTTCTACAAAAAAATTAAAAAAATTAAAATAAAGAGGAAGGTGCTCCCCGCCTCCCATACTTAGCATGGTGGAACAGCAGCACCACGCGAGGAAGGAGGAACTTTTGTGTGACTGGAATGAGCGTGAAAGACTTTGGAGCACCGTTGTAGATGCTCTTTATGAGTGACTCTCTCTTGGCTTATAGAATTTTGTACTTTGTGCTTTGTGCTCCCTCTGTCCCATTTTATATTGTCCGTTTTGATTTTGAGGCATATTTAAGAAAGAGAAAAAGTAGTGTTGATTTTTCAAAAATGTCTTACTTTTTTTACGGGAGTGGTGATGAATAAGAAGATAAGGTGGAGATGAGTGACTTATTTTAGAAGCAGGTTAGGTATTCTACCCTTAAAAGTTTATTATTATAAGAAACTGACAACTTATTTTGGGACGAACAAAAAAAGAAAATAGGTAATTTAAAATGAGACGGAGGGAGTACGAAAATTTAAGAAAAGTGTATTTAAATTAAAAAAAGATGAGAATTAAGGTATTTAAACAGTGTATTTACAAAAAGTTGGGAGAACATTTTAAAATGATTAACTTAAGAGTCTATTTGGAAAGAAAAATGCTAGAGTCACAAACATATTGTTCACAAATTTCACAAACTTGCCTTTTGTGGATTTTAAATTAAAATATCTTTTATTATTTAAGTGCATCTTATTTCTAGGAAAGTGTTAAAAGGGCAAGTTTGTGAATTTTGTGAACTGTTTGTTTGTGATTCTAGCATTACTCATTTGGAGAAGGGGAAAATGATTTCTGGAGTCATTTTCCCCATATTCCAGTGTTTGGTAACAAAGTCTGGAAAATAGGTTGTGGTCAAAGGGAAAATGGGGCCTAATATCTGGAAAACCACTTCCAGTTTTTTTTTTTTTCTTCTTCCTGAAGTCAAATTATGTTGCGCCTGGCTCTCAAAGCTTCTCCATCTTTATGACCCGCTGCACCATCATTGCCTCCTCTTACGGCACCATCGCCGCCCTCCTTATCCATCAATCTGCTACCATCTTTGCTCTCCTTCTCCGCCACCATCGCAACCTTCATTTTCTTCCATGTTGACTAGAAATAGCGAGTGATGAGAGAACTTTGCAATTGGTCTCGGAATTGGTCTAGCTACGGAAGACCTCCTTCTCCTTCGATTTGGAAATCTGGTTCAAACAAGAAATTCCAGATCTTATAATTGAACAATTGGTTGTAGCCCTTCTACATTTCTTTCACATTTTCTAGACTTCAAAAATTGTTTTCCAGAAGTCATTTTTCCCATTACCAAATTGACCCTAACAGCAAATTCTTATGTTGTCCTACCATTTGTGGCCATTGCATGAACCTTACTCCATCCGTCCGGAAATGTTCTTCCCATTTACAGTCTCCAAAATTGCACTTTGACCACTAATATCTTTATTTATACATGAATAAATTTTATAAAAATTTGATATTTGAAAACTATATTTCAAAATGAATATATTCATATTAAAGTTATATTATAATACAATGTATTTTTTCCATATAACATAGTCAAAGTTTACAAACTTTGACCAAAAAAAGTCAATTGGAAGAATATTTTCTAACGGAGGGAGTACTATTTTAGTTTATTTTATTTTTTTGAAAGGAATGGACTTTAGTGTATTAATATCATATAAAAAATTGGATCTTTTACACACAAAAATAAATAATCCACTTTTCAGCGTATGCAAAGGTGTGAAAAACGTAAAAATATCCAAATTTCACATGTAGACTTTAAAACTATGAAAGAGCAATTTTAACTTAACACTAGGTTTTGAAAGCGACCAAGAAACCTAAAAAGATCACAAACAAGAAAGGCTGTGCTAAGAGAACCTCACATCAAAATATCAAATGCAAACAAATCATCCATTTAGTACACGAAATTGATGAAATTAGAATTAATTTGAATGAAACAAATTCTCCAATTCCAATTTATTTGTGGCTTTACCAATTTCAAATCTACATATTTTTGTGCTACCAAAAAAAAAAATCCGTGAAGGCATGAACCAAACGGGGACAGACTATATCATATTTATGGGGCTCCCCAAGCTTTATCTTCCATTTTAAAAAGAAGAAAATATGTGGGAAAACACAGTGCACCCTTGCTAATGAACTGTAACAAAAAAAACATTTTAAAAAAAATGTACTACAACCATTTGGCACAACAAAGAATAAATGTGATGGAGAGAGCTTCACTTATTGGTTCTACCATTTGGCACAACAAAGGTTCATTCTCCTCAATGGGGTGTTACAGGAAGCAGTTATTTACAGACCGTATGTATGTCAAAAAAAATGTACGTATAAATACGGAGTCTAAAGTGAGCATATAGAGTCTAAAGGACTCCGAAAATAGCGTGAAGCTGCAAATCGTCAAAAGCTTTTCAATCCTTGGGTTTGTTCCTCGTAGCTTTACGCTTGTTGACGTCCAAATATCTCTTTCTTAGCCTGATGGCTTTTGGTGTAACCTGCACGATACAATAGGCAATCTACCACTAAAACAATAATGGGGTGATACATGATTCTTGTGAAAATAAAGGAGATCATTTTTGTGTTTTTTATGAAAAAAATAAAAAGTAATACGGCACCTACATCAATGGGAAGTTTGTTGTATGGCCCTCTCACCAGTAGAGAAAGTAAAAGTTAATGATAAAATAACGTTCAATGACAGAATACCTCAATGAGCTCGTCGGATGCAACATATCCTATTGCTTCTTCAAGAGTCATCTGTAAGGAGTGCCAACCAGTAAATATAAGAGCTATTTTAAACACTTCAAAGTGCAGCACTACTAGGGAGTAACACATTTGTCTGCCCAATGTGGTATACTTGTGTGCAATACACATAGCCATCAATTTTTCTTTGATCCTATGGAAAAACATTTGAAAATAATGGGGTGTGTAAAAAATGTGCATTACCTGTCTGGGAGGAGATAGCTTCACGTTCTCATCCTTGCAAGCAGCACGCATATTGGTGAGCTCCTTTGTCCTTACCGGGTTAATCTGGAATGGGCAGTCATCCCAAGAGTCAAACACTATTAACAGACAAAATACAGGATAGAAAGATTGAATCTTGCCAAAGACTTTGGTCCCGCGGCATGATGGTGACTCTACCATATGGGAGGTCACAGGTTCGGATCCCCAGTGAGGGCAATAACTCTACATGCTTAATGGGTTGCAATTGTATGAACATGTACTATATTATAATTGAGTTATTAGTGGTAAAAAAGATTGAATCTTACATCAAGATCACTGTCTCGAGAATGTTCTCCAACAATCATGCCATCATATGTCTGCACATCATCCCCAAATAAAGGCACAGTAACTATTAGGAATTCGGGACAAATTAATTAAGTGAATCGCATTTGAAGCAGCAATTTGAAACCAAGGTAAAGGATAACATAGTTCCCAAAAGAAAACAAAATTTACCTCTACCCCGGGACTGACAAAGAGAACTCCACGAGCTTCTAGACTCGTCAATGCATGAGCTGTGGTAGTTCCGAATCCCATAGATACCTGTTGAAATAAGTTTAACCAATAAAGTCTAACACATAAAATCACAAACATACTTCTTGCACTGTTGGAATAAAATGACATTGAACATGATAGGGTGTTATGTTCTTGTATGAAGCAGGATTATGAATCAAATGTAATCTACAAGCAAAGAAAAATTAGCAATTTGCACATGGGTGATGGGCCAATGGCCATGTACATCGTAACATAGACACATACCAAAACACCTTTTCTGACATTTCCAAGAGGACCACGGTGCTTCTCATATTCTATATAAAAAGACAAGCAAAACATCACTATTAGGGAAGTCATAATACATTTATTAAGGACTAGGAGGCTAGCATAAGTGTCCAGTAAAGAAACAATGAAACAAAAGAATTGAGCATTATTTATGATAGATTAGGAGAACACATACTAAGAAAAGCACGATGCATAAATCCTGTGCCACGGGTATCACTACTGAACACACTTCTGTAACCAACCAACCCTCTGCAGTAATAATCAATCGCGATACTATATTAGGACAACGACGAAGTATTACATAGGCTATATTTGATTGCAGGAAAAATAAGTTGTGGAGAACATTTTATGCTTCGTCAATGTTTTCCTACAAAAAAAATAACCTATGTACAATACAATAGTTAACCACGAATAACAAAAAAAAAAAGAGAGAACTTCAGGAAAATCACATTACCATTGAAATAACAAGAGAAAATTACCTCAATATTAATAAAACATACTCCCTCCATCCCAAAAATATTTTTACATTGGACTCTTCTTGGTCAAACTTTACAAGTTTGATCACGACTTACGAAAACTACATACTGCACACTTAGTTATATTGTAAATTTAATATCATTGGGTTAATTTTACGTTGTAGCCCATCTCTCTAATTTCAAGGCCCACCCCTGCCACCGATCACAACCACTCACCCCCTGTGAATGCCCATTGACATGCCGTTAACGCCCACAATGAAATGTCGTTACTGTTCCTCCACGTGACATCAACCCCATTGGTAACCCATCGCCACAACTTCAAGCATGTCACTATCCACGTCGATGCCCTATCATTACCATCACTGCCGGAACTAATAGTCTTTAATGCCCGTATCTTAGACAGCAATAATCATTATTGTCCGTGTCAGCAATATCTGGTCTCTTCCATGGCAGCAGCGGTGGAGAGAACAGAAGATCCATGGAAACAGCAGCAGCAACGCCTACGGGTGCGGCATTGAGAAGAGGTGGTGTTGTGTGAAAATGGTGTGTACCATAGATTTTGGATTCCTAAATGAGGGCTTCGGAGGCAAATGCTACGAGGAAAACAGAGCAGAGAGCCAGAGAAGGAGGCCAGCATTTGATTGGAGAAGGAAAATGGAACTTCTGCCACCATGGAAGTGGAAAATGTACCTCTGTCTAAAAGTAGGATCATTGCTTCATCGGATGATCCGAATAACAGGAAGCCAATGTACAAGAGTTTTATAGCGGGGAGAGTGTCTGAGAGGAAGTGGAAGCAAGTCAGAACACACAGTTCGTCAATGTTGCGCATGTGGAAGGGCAAAACACAGCGGAAAATGAAGAAGCGGACGAAGTGTAAGAAGAAGAAGAGAGGAAGAAGTATAAGCGTGCAACTAGACATCAATGCAGGAAAGAGTTTTAATTATTAGGGTTTCGTTATAATTGACATATGAGGGCATTTTAGTATATACTTACATTAATAATTAATTAATTTCTTAGGTAATAAAAACATGTGATCATACATGGGGAAAAACAACTCCATATCTTTTAGCAAATATCACTTGTCACAAATAGAAATTAAATTCGATTTGAAAAGTATTTTCAATCTTGAATTTCCATCATAAACTTAATACCATACTCCCTTTGTTCCCTAAATAATTTCACATTTTCCTTGAGGTCATTTTAGTATATTTACGATAATACTTAATTTATTTATTACTAGGTAAAAAAACATGTGATCATATATGGGGGAAAATCCTCCATATCTTATAGCAATTTCTACTTGTTACAAATAGAAATTAAATACGATTTGAAACGAAAGTATTTTCAATCTCGAATTTCCATCAAAATCTAATAGCATAATCCCTTCGATCCCTAAAGAACTTCACAATTTTCATTTTACAGGACATCCCAAAATAAGTTCCCGTTTTCTTTCATAGAAAGATTTTTATGACCTAAACTATTTCTCTACATAAATCTCAACCACGCAAGTTCATTGTTGGTTGGGGAACCAAATGAGTGTTAATTTATACTCCCTATGTCCCGTTGGAATGCTTATGCTTTCCCTCCTTGTTTGTCCCAACACAAAGTTTACACTTTTCTCATTCTTTTTCTCATTTTTTTTCTAGCAAGAAATACATGGCTCAAAAATCAAAACATTTCTCTTTTAAACATATTTAAACTACTAATTTTTTTACTTTCAACTTTTATCTTAAACATCATGAAGTCAAAGCATAAACTTTGCAATGGGATGGAGGGAGTATTTAATTCCATCAATTTGCTTCTGACCTTCAGTGGTAGTATTTCTGGAAAGATGTTTTAGCTCAAGAACAACAATAACAAAAATTGAATATAATCCCAACTTCATGGGGTTTGGGGGTACAGATGTATAGAGCCTTACTCGTTGATACATTGCTGCAATACTATCCAAATTTCCATGGAAAGAAAGAAACAAAGTTTAATATGCTTATTTGATTTAGCACATAACTTATTCAAAGCTAAAAAAAGTTAGCTTTAGCTCAAATTGTGAATTTCTATTACTTTTATTGGTAAGAGAAAGTGTACATGTTTTTCTAAAGTTGGCCTCACACCAACAACAACAACATCAACAACAACAACCCAGTTGAATCCCACGAAAGCAGGGTCTGGGGAGGGTGTGTGTAGGCAGACCTTGCCCCTACTCGAAAGTAGAGAGGCTGTTCACAAGAGACCCCCGGCTCAAGCTGCACAAATAAAAAGATCACTAGAGATGCATAAAGTAGAGAAGGTTGTATTGGTGATATATTTTGCACATCAGAATTGGACCCAAAAAGGTTACGTATAAGAATAATTCAACAAAAGAAAAAATGAATTGACATGCAAAACCAATCACCTTAAAGAACCTACATCACATTTTGCTTCACTTTTTCTTACAGGAGAGAAGAGTGGGGACACAACAAAAGAAAACAGAGCATACCTTGAAGGACAAGTCAAACAAATCCTTGTCCTATCAACATTTCCTGGGACAGGGCCCATGTCTGTCACTTCGGCACGCCTATGAGAGAGTGCTTCCATGACTAAACCAACATGCTCAGCATCAACCTTTATTCAACAAATCGATGCCCTCATAAATGTATTAAATACTATGGAAGCCAAACAAATGAGCACTCAACTCATTACACACCTCAATGGTCACTTCTTCAATAGGCTCAAGCTTTTGAGATTTCTCATATTTATACCTGTCCAAGAAATAACTTTTAGAAAATCTCTGAAATTTGGTAGAGGAACAAATAACAAGTGTTTTGGGATAAAAGTAGAAACAAGCGTGTAATGGTTAAGCAAACCTAAACCATTCATTATTCTAAAAGATAACACTATGTGTTATACGATGCATCAATATTGTTTATAAATAAGTGCCAATGACATGTAATTTTTTATTTCACTGGTTTATTGTTTAAGGCTAATGAAATACAATTACATTCCACAAAATACAGTAAGCAAAGAACTTACATGACTTTGGGCGGAGAGACAGACAGCTCAAATCCTTCGCGTCTCATGTTCTCAATTAGGATGCCTAAATTAGACAACGGAAAATGTAATTCAATACTGTAAGAGCAGAACTAAAGATGAAAAAGTCTTAAGAGAGACAGCTGAAGATTAAATATTAGTGATGTTCCATCAAGAACTGGAAGATTAAAAAAGAACACACCTAGTTGAAGTTCACCCCTCCCTT